CAGTTCTACTGGTATGGACATTTTACCAGTTTACATGGAGTATAGAAACCTTATTTCCTTCTATGTCCCTTAACTGTTTCCTTATAATGGTTTTCTGTATTTATTTTGTATACATTTAGAACTAAACCAAGTAGTGTTAAGAGTTTTTACTTCAATCATCAAACTTTTTTTTTTATAAATTAATTTTTATTGGTGTTCAATTTACCAACATACAGAATAACACCCAGTGCTCATCCCGTCAAGTGTCCCCCTCCGTGCCCGTCACCCACTCACCCCCACCCCCCGCCCTCCTCCCCTTCCACCACCCCCAGTTCGCTTCCCAGAGTTAGGAGTCTTTATGTTCTGTGTCCCTTTCTGATATCTCCCACACATTTCTTATCCCTTCCCTTATATTCCCCTTCACTATTATTCATATTCCCCAAATGAGTGAGAACATACACTGTTTGTCCTTCTCCGATTGACCTACTTCACTCAGCATAATACCCTCCAGTTCCATCCACGTTGAAGCAAATGGTGGGTATTTGTTGTTTCTAATGGCTGAGTAATATTCCATTGTATACATAAACCACATCTTCTTTATCCATTCATCTTTCGATGGACACCGAGGCTCCTTCCACAGTCATCAAACTTAATTTTAAAAACTCAAAAGAAGGGAAATATGTCACATTTACTCACATTTGTATTCTTTCCATTATTCTTTCTCCTGAACTGATGCTTCAAATTTCTTCCTTTTATCATTTCTTTTCTGCCTAGAAAGCTTCCTTTAGCCATTCTTTTAAGATAGGTCTGCTGGAACAAATTTTCTTAGTTTTCCTTCATCTGAGAATGTCTTGATTTCCCCTTCAATCTTGAAAGATATTTTCACTGGTAATAGGATTCTGGATTGATAGTTCTTTTCTTCTTGTATTTGAAAAATGTTGTGCCACTTTCTTCTGGCCTTCATGGTTTCTGATGAGAAATTCAGTCATTCAAATTGTTTTTCACCTATAGGTAATGTATCATTTCTTTGGCTGCTTTCAAGTTTTTTACTTTTTATTTTTAGAAGTCTGATTATGTTTTTGTGTGGATTGGGTTTGTCCTGTTTGGGATTTTCTTGGCTTCTTCAATCTTTTGTTTAATGTCTTTCACCAAATTGGGGGAAGTTTTCAATTTCTTCAAGTACTTTTTTAGTAGCATCTTTCCCCTTTATTTCCAGTACTACAATTTAAGGCTTTCATAATAGTTCTACAGGTCCATTCATTATTTTTCCCCCAGTCTGTTTTCTCCTTGTTGTTCATATTAGGTAATTTCAATCATTTCCCTCAAGTTTATGGATGCTTCTACTCTCCCCATTCTGCTATTGAGCCCATCCAGTAAGCTTTTAATTTTTCTTATTGTATTCTTCACTTCTAAGCTTCTATTTCTTTTTCTTCACATCTTCCATTTCTTTGCAGAGATATTCTGTTTCTTCTAAAAATAGAGTAAAACTCTGTTTTTTAATATTTCAATCATGTTCATAATTGTTCACTGAAGTATTAACAGCTACTTAAAGTCTGTCAGAATATGCTAATACTTCAGTTGTCTCAATTTTGGCATCTACTGATCACCTCGTCTCATTCAAGTTTAGACTTTCTTGGTTCTTGGTATAATGAGTAATTTTCTATCGAAACCCGGACATTTTAAGTATTTTGTTATGATACTGTGGGTATTATTTAAAGCTTCTGTTTTAGTTGGCTTTTCCTGGTGATAGAAATAGGATGACATTTTTTCCTGTCAGCTGAGGGTACACATCTAATTTCTCTACTTCTTGGACTCCCGATACCCAAGTGAGGACAGGGATCCTCACTACTCCTGGTTAGGAGTGGGCACTCCAGTTCCCCACTCAGCTTCTCTGAAAATACCCTGGTTAAGAGTGGTAGGAGTGCTTGTTATTGTTCCCCATTTGGCCTCCTTACTGCTGGATAGTTGTGAAAGTCCTGATCCTTCGCTAGGTCCTCTCTAACACCAGCCCAATAGGAAGCCAAAGGGGCATCTTGTTACTGCTAGGTGGCATAATGGAATACAAGCTCCCCATGAGATCTTCACTGTAGGTGGAATTTTGTTACTCCTGGAGGGGATGAAAGTCCTAGCTTCTGACTTGTCTTTCTCTGCACCATCTCAGGGGAGGGGTTGGGGGTACATAATGGCAGCCTAATGAGGGTAAGTGTCTAGGCTCCCCATTCAGCATTGGCTGGTATGGTGGAGCCAGGTTTTTTTTCTGTGATGTTTGGCTGGAGTATAACAGTTATTGTCTAGAGGCTTTCTGGTTTTTTTTAGGCTGCCCCTTTTCTGGTCCTTTAGCTAGAGAGAATGGGCTTTTGCTGAAGATGTTTCTGTTTGTACCCATTGGTGTTTCTGGATTGCCAGCTTCTTTATCTCCAAGTCTGGAATATATGAGCCAAGAAGAAAACCCAAGGAACTCATCACCTATTCTTCCTTGGGTTCCTAGGTCTCTAGCTGGTCTACCTTCTTATTTCCATCTTTTCAGAGTCTTCTAGTTTTCATATGTTTGTTTCACATATAATATCCAACAGTTTTAGTTGTACTTATCAGGGGGAATAGGGAAAAGTATATATGCTCCATCTTTCCAGAAACAGAATTTAACTTGACTTTAAATGTATTATTTTACCAAACTCTCAGAACACCACCACAAAGGAAGTATTATAACCACTTTATAGACGAAGACACTGAGGTTAAGACGTCATTCATCCAGTAAGTGGTACAAAGATAATGGAAGGTAAATGGGGAAATAGTCAAATGAATAAGTACAAGTGGGGGTAAAATAGCTCGCTCCCTTTTTCTTCTTCTTTTTTTCCTTTAGGGTAAATGCATCCTGGCCCTTTAAAGAGGAACAAGGAAAGGGGTGGGGATAAGTAACAGGATCCTTTTGATCCCAGGCTGTAGTTCTTCAGTTTCTTCAGCCCTGGCAGGCTATTCCTATTTCCCACCAGGATGTTCTCTCTAGCCAGAAAGACACCATTGCCACCCTCACTAGTCTCCCACTTCTCTCCCTTTCTGCTACCCTATGCTCTGTTACTCTCAATTGCATTAGCGGCTTATTTTCTGAGCCCTTTATCCTTCAGCATAAACACTTGCCTCTTTATGAAGTACATGAGGAATCCCTCAGTGAAAGGCTGAAGGGAGGCTTGAGTTAGTGGCTCCTTCTTTGGTTACTTCAGGTGATGTCCACTGGCAGGCCCACCTTGAACATTTGTGGCCTGGGTAGAACAAATGCAGGTCTCTGGTCTAGCTTCCCATTTTCAATCCTCAGCTTTACCCTACATGACAAGGGGCCTTGCATATGTCCAAATCCCACCCACACCACCCCCCATGAACTGTTCTCCCTGCAGCCCAGTCTGTCTTGTCCTAGTCTTTCTCTGTAGCCCAGTCTGTCCTGGGACTTAGAGAAGAGACTCAAGCAGGACCTCAGACAGCCACTTGAGAGGGGGCATTCTGAGGGCCTCATGTATCCAGAAATATAGGCTCTGACTAGAGCATCTAAATAGCCCTATAAGCCCTTTGTAGAAAGGCATGCAGTTGGAATTTAGTCCAAATGGGGCCCAAAGCCTTTCTATTCAAAGCATGGTTTGTAAACCAGCAGTGTCAGCACCACCAGGGAACTTGTTAGAAGTTCTAACCTCACAGCTACTGAACCAGAATATGTTAACCGAGATTCCCTGGTGATTCATATTTCAAGTGTTAGAATCTGAGAAGCCGTATTCTGATGCAAGTGTCCAGACACCTCAAGAATGGAACAATATTTCCATATGGGGATGAGAGGGGACAGCAGTTGCTTGTCTTATGGCTAGTATTTTATAAACCATATGGGAAATCTAGACTTTGCCCAATCTAAGAGAAAGAGAGAGTGAGCTTTTCTGGTAGTTCTTCAATGCTTTATTTCTTGGGGGGAGGGGAGGGAAGGGAAATTGCAATAGATTCTAACTCATTACCCTACAAACCTCTTATGTATATATTCCCAGGCAAATGACTTTTCCCAGACTCTTGGACTTTTTCTTCATGCAATAAAGAAGTAAAATCAGATTATCTGTCTCTAACGCTCCTTCCAGGAAAGCAAAACATACTTGAACGGGAAGCAGCATAAAACTGTGAAAAGAGCATGCATCTTGGAGGCAGTCTGAGCCCATTTCACCATAGCTCTACCATATACTCCTCATGTGACCCTGCACAACTCAACCTCTTTTTCCCTCAGTTTCCTGTCTCAAAAAGTGGACTAATAAAATTTCTGTATCAGCAGGGATGCACAGAGAGAACCTACTACAGAACCATGACTCACAGTATAGGTTCAGAAAATATCGTTTATTTCAGCACAGATATTTATGCTTTTTGTAGAGAATTGGCTTATTCTACAGATAGAACAAAGGCACCGAAACTTGTAGAAATTTTATGAGTCCCTGCTTCTTCATTTTCTTACCTGACAGGGTCTCTTTCTTCATAGAAAGGTCTGAGCTTTGTCGGCAATACCAGAGGCAGGAAGACTTAGCTCTGAACCAGTGGTCAGATCCATTAAATGAATTCTCTGCTCCTATTCAGACTAAACACAGGGACCTAATTCTCATAGTCTGTTATCTCTCTCTCCACACACGGAGTTACCAGGGGAATTCAAGAAAGACACCACAGGAAGAGAGATGAGGTTTCTATGGGAGAAGGAAGAAAAATGAATCACCATATCTTGATTTTCCCTCCTACATATCTACAGAAGGCAAGGCATCTAAGTAGATTGGTGAAGGAGAGAATAGAAGAGGTAGAGAGAAGGCAGCACTAGGAGTTGTGAGATAGCATTGATGCCCAACTGGATTTATTTATATTTTTAAGAGACCAGGCAAGGAAAAAAATAGAAATGAGATGGTAGGGCAGCATGGCTGTGAATTTTTAAACTTATAGTTAGCTGGAGGGAAAATACCATTTTTGCCACATTTTCATTCCACACAGGGTTACAATATTAATTGGCTTAGCAGACTTACAATCAGCAATTTCTTTTGCAGTGCACAGGTTAATGGAGTTGCCAGAGTGTTTCAGATATGAAATTGTTGCCTCATAATTATGTGGTTCTTCAAATTCAGCACTAAGAAACATGGAAAAAAAGGTTACTTAAAATAAAACATTGCTTTCCACATATTTAAAAACTTTTTGTATTTTTTCTTCATTAAAGAATATGTCTGACAAATATGGTGATTTAAACCTATATGAAAGGCATACCACCCCTACTCTAAAAATACAGAAATTCTGAAAAATATAACAATGTGAAAAATTATATGAAGAATATATAATTCATCTAGAAATCAATAAAGTCTCCAGGTGCCAGATATAGAGAGGAAAGCACAACTAAAGATGAAGGTGAGAATTACATGCAAAGGGAAACTGAGACAGATAAAGAAAAATCCTAATGACGGGGTGGCTGAGGATATACTTCCTGAGTCAGAAGTTAAGTCTGAGCCACAGGCCTCATGTGAATGTGAAGCTAGAACCAAGCTATCACCATAAAGTTCAGAGTCACAAAATGCCATTTCATCTGTTAAACAAATTATAAAACATATGTGTGTACTTCTCTGCTATCCAGCTATGATTGCTGGAGCTAAAAGAATCTCCCATGAGAAATCAGAAACTTGAAAACCCAGCACCAAATACAGGTGGGGTTCTAAATGTATACTGTATCTCAGAGACACAGAGACAAAATGGTGCTTGCAATCCAACTGTCTTTTGTAAGGCAAATCTGAAATCACTCTGTAAAGATGCTTCTATAACCCAAGGCAGCTATGGTTGCCAAAGGAAACAATTCCCACTTAAAACAAGCTTGTAGTAAAAAAAAAAAAAAAAAAAAAAAAAAACAAAAAAAACAAAAACAAAAACAAAACAAAACAAAAAACAAAAACAAAAAAACAAAAACAAGAAACCCACAAGCCACACAAAGAGATGAGCTACCACAGATAGAAGATATAACAGAATGACAGATTTAAATAACAGAATGAGATGAAAGTGACTTTAAACATTTAAAAAAATGTTCAAAGAAATAAAGGGATAAAAGCCATTAGGTAAAAAACAAAACAAAAAAAACTCCAAGGGTGTGGAAAAAGAACATAGATTTAGGGACAGGAGAAAGGGCTTATAGAAATCATTAATTCTTGTAATAAAAATTTAATGTAGAGGTTGAAAAGTAGACTAGACACAGCAGAAGAGAGAATTGGGGAATAAGTTAGATCTAAGGAAGTCACTCAGAATGTAGCATGGAGAGATGAAGAGATGCAAAATATTAAAAGAGAAGTTAACAGTGGGGAAGGTAGAATGAAAAGGTTCAACATATATAGACTAGGGATTCTAAAAGGGAAAAAGAAAAAAGATGAAAAGGAGTCAGTATTCACATGATAATAACTAAGGCTTTTAACATTGAAAAGGAACATAAATTCTCTATTGAATCAACTTCAACAATAAAAAATAATGATAAATCCACGCTCATACACTTTGTAATAAGTTAGCATAAGTCAAAGGAAAAAAGAAAAATGTAAAATCTCTGTGAGAGAAAAGATAGATTACTGAGGAATAGCAGACTGTCAAGGGACTTCTCATTAGCAGCAATTGGTGGTTGAGATTGTGGATAATATCTTATGGGCTAAGGAGAGAGGAGATATCAGTATCAAATTATCTTCTAGCTAAATTGTCATTAAAAGTGAGGGAGAAACAAAGATTTTTTTCAGCATACCAGTACACATATTTACTGCTCACAGATCCTTGCTGAAATGCATCAAATCTTTCAAAGAAGTTAAAGTCCCCTCCTTCCCAAGGCAGAAATCACTTTGGAATGATACTTGTTTCTGCTGGGCCATGCACAGGGTATGGCTAGGCAGGAGCTGCTTTGAAGGTACCTGCTGAGATAGGTGGGTTTGATGGGGTGGGTCTGTAATACTAGCAAGTCAGATGAAGAGTTTTAGAGCTGGTTCCAAGTGTCTGGCCATCTAGAGTGAGGGAAGAGAGGAGAAATGGTGCCTGCCAGTGGGCTTCACACTGGGCATGGAGCCTGCTTAGGATTCCCTCTCTCCCTCTCCCTCTGCCCCTCCCCCCTTAAAAAAAACACAAGAGGGAGTCAACAACAGATTAGAGGATGCAGAAGAACAGATCAGCAATCTGGAGCACAGGGTGACCAAAAGCACCAAAGCTGAACAGCAAAAAGAAAAAAATTAAAAAATGAGAATAGATTAAGGAAACTCAGTGATATAATCAAAATACTGAGGAAAAAATCCTGTAACCAAGAATAGGCTACCCATCAAGGTTATCATAGGAGAAATAGAAGAATAGGAATAGTTAGAATAGGAGAGAGAAAAAATTTCTCAAATTAAAGTTAAAGGAGTTCATCACCACTAAATCAGATTTACAAGAAATGTTAAGGGGAATACTTTGAATAGAAAGAAAAGACCATGACTAGAAGAACATCATTAAAGGAAAAAATTTCACAGGTAAAAGCAAACATATAGTGAAGGTAGTGGATTAGTCACTGATAAAACCAGTATGAAAGTTAAAACACAAGAGTAATAAAATCAATTATATTTACAAGTAACAGTCAATGGATACACAAAATAAAAAGATGTAAAATATGATATCATATGCAAAAAACATGGAGAGGGGAGTAAAAATTTTGACCTTTTAGAATGTGTTTCATCTTCAGCAACCATCAACTTGTAAAGACTTCTATAAAGATGCTTGGGTGGCTCAGTGGTTTAGCATCTGCCTTTGGCTCAGGTCATGATCCTGGGGTCCAGGGATCAAGTCCCATATTGGGCTCCCTGTGAGGAGTCTGTTTCTCCCTCTGCCTGTGCCTCTACCTCTCTGTGTGTGTTTCATGAATAAATAAAATCTTTTAAAAAAGACTGTTATAACACCTAAGATGTTATATATGAACCCAATAGTAACCACAAATAGAAAACCTTTAACAGATACAAACATAAAAAGAAAGGAATACAAGTATAACACTAAATAAAGACATCAAACCACAAGGGAAAAGAGTAAGAGAAGAAAAAAAGGAAAAAAAGAATTACAAAAACATATAGAAAACAAATAAGATGACAGTATGTACTTGTTAATAATTATTTTAAATGTAAATAGACTAAATGCTCCAATCAAAAGACACAGGCTGACTGAATGGATATAGAAACCAACCCATGTATATGCTGCCTATAAGAGGCTTACTTCAGAACTAAAGACACATACAGACTGAAAATGTAGGACTGGAAAACATACGCTATTTAAATGAAAGTAATAATAATTTAAAAAAAAGCCAGGGCAACAATACTTTTATCAGACAAAACAGACTTTAAAACAAAGATTGGCCAAAAAGAAAGGGCCCTACATAATGATAAAGAGATCAATCCAACAATTATATAACAATTATAAATATCTATGCACCCAACATTGAAACACCTAAATAAAGCAAATATTAACAGACTTAAAGGTAGAAATCGACAGTAGTACAATAATAGCAGGGGATTTTAACAGCCACTTGCATCAAGGGATAGATCAGATGGACAGAAAATCAACAAGGAAACAGTAGCTTTGAAGCACACATTTGACCCAGTGGACCTAAAAGATATATACAGAACATTTCATCTAAAACAGCAGAATACACATTCTTTTCAAGTATGTAAGGAAGATTCTCCTGGACAGATCACATTAGGCCAGAAAACAAGTCTCAATACATTTAAGAACTCTGAAATCATACCAAGGATTTTTTCCAACCACAACAATATAAAACCAGAAATCAATTATAAGAAAAATCTGGAAGGAACACAACTACAGAAGGCTATACAATATGTACCAAAAATGAATTTTCTTCAAACAAGAAATAAAGGAAGAAGAAGAAAAATTGAGATAAATGAAACACAATGGTCCAAAACCTTTGGGATGCAGCAGTACAGGCCTCCCTCGAGAAACAAGAAAAATCTCAAACAACCTAACTTTATACCTAAAATAATTAGGAAAACAACAAACAAAGCACAAAGCTAGTAGAAGGAAGCAAATAATAAAGATTAGAGCAGAGCCTTTAGCCAAATTTGTCAAGAAAACAAGAGGATTTAAATAAATATAATCAGAAATGAGGGAGTAAGAAATGATGGTATAGAAATACAAAGGACTATAAGAGACTATTATGAACAATTTTAAACGAAAAAATTGGACTACCTAGAAGAAACGGATAAAGTTGAAGAGATGTATCATCTTCAGAAACTAAATTAGGAATAAATACCTTGACAGTCTGCTATTCCACGATCAGATAGTTTCAGGGTGAAGTGAATGGAGTATTTATTTTTTTTTAAAGATTTTATTTATTCATAGAGACAGAGAGACAGAGAGAGAGAGGGCAGAGACACGATAAGCAGGCATCATACAGAGAGCCTGACGTGGGACTCAATCCAGGGTCTCCAGGATCATGCCCTGAGCTGCAGGTGGCACTAAACCGCTGCGCCACCAGAGCTGTCCGTCTATTAAATATTTAAAGAAGAGCTAATATCTATTTTTCTCAAACTATTTCAAAAAACAGAAGAGAAAGTAAAACTTCCAAGTTCATTCTATGACCTCAGTATGACCCTGAAGCCAAAATCGAACAAAGACACTATAAAAAAGGAAACTTCAGGCCAATACCTGAAACTAGTAAGACACTATATGTTAATTATATTTCACTTTAAAAAGAAATAATGGTGATCAAATAAATAAATAAAGCTATTGGTAAATCTAAATATGTATCAACTATAAAAATGACAAATTTGCAGAAGTTTAAGAGCATTATGGAATTAAAAATATTAAATAATAATATGAAAGAGAGTGGGAGAGGGTTATCAGAGTTAGTCTCATATCTTTGTATCATTTAGGAGCAAGAGAGAGATTTTGATTCCTACCAGACTTAGGGTAATTATATGTCAAAATTTAACTGTAACCACTAAAAAGAATAGAAATAGAGTATTTAACTTTTCAACTGGTGGAAGGAGACTATAGAATGAGAAAACTTAAATACTAAAGAAGGCAGCAAAGGAAAAAAATATACATGTAAAATTTTCATAATATATGCAAAACATAAAATATGCG